TTGTTTAAAAAAACTTTTCTTTTGCACTTGTATTGCTTTTCGCAGTTGTATTTCTGGCGTGTCCGAATTTTCTGTAACTGGTATTGAATCTGCAAAAAATAATGTTTAATGTACGAAAACGTATAATATAGAAATAATGTTTTATACACCTTACCTAAAATAACGTTATATATATTTCTTAGGGACTTCAAACTTTTTGTCCATGATTTCCGTCAATATTATATTCGTGAGTAATATTTGAACCTATAATATTTTTAATGATTTCGATATTCCCTCTCTTTTTATAATGGATGATATAATCTTTACTTAAAAATTAACATAATATTTGTATATAATCTGTCTCCAATAAGAAATAAGTTTAAAAATACTTACATATATATCTTTATTCTCACTTGAGATTTTGTTATTAATTTCAATGAGATCTTTCTCAGTGGTGATGGGGAACTTATTCGATAATGGTATCTCAGCACTTGGAGTTCGTAGTAATTTTTGCACCATTACTTTCAACTCAGCTAATGCATCAGCTAAAACCTTGATCTGACCTATAGTGAAAACAAAGAAGCAAATTACAAAATTAACAAAATATTTGTATATAATCTGTCTTCAATAAGAAATAAATATAAAAATACTTACATATATATCTTTATTCTCACTTGAGATTTTGTTATTAATTTCAATGAGATCTTTCTCAGTGGTGATGGGGAACCTTTTCGATAATGGTATCTCAGCACTTGGAGTTCGTAGTAATTTTTGCACCATTACTTTCAACTCAGCTAATGCATCAGCTAAAACCTTGATCTGACCTATAGTGAAAACAAAGAAGCAAATTACAAAACTACATAATTTTTACCTCGAATAACTTTCTAAGAGTTTTCCATCTTTTTACCAAAAGTTTCGCAATTGCACTTTTGATTGGGACTATCTGCAAAATAGAAAAATAATAATAGGGAATCAATTAGGAAATTATTTAAGATTATTAATTACTTACCATTGTTTATAATTCAACTGAAACGTTTAATTTTTCTAGGTGTTTCTTCCCTTCTTCTTCAAAATAAAAACTGTAATAAAATTGCAAGTCTATAATAACAAAAAAATGAACAGTTTAATTAATAAAAAGAAAAGGAGTTGTATGAAGTGACAATGAAAATCCACACAAGTAGTTCCTTGTGAGTACTTTACCCCTGAGAGAGAATTGTCTATACAGGTCCACTATATCGTATACCCCCAATATAACGGTACTTTCGATATTCGGTATTTTGATAATTTTAATATCATCGTATTCATCGTATATCCCCCATATAACTGTACCCCCGATATTCGGTATTTTGATGATGTTAGCCACACTTTTCAATGGAATTGTCTTAAAATCCACACAAGTAGTTCCTTGTGAGTACTTTACCCCCTGAGAGAGAATTGCCTATACAGGTCCTCGATATCGTATATCCCCCATATAACGATACCCTCGATATTCGGCATTTTGATGATTTTACCCACATTTTCCAATCGTATTGTCTGAAAATCCACACACGGAGTTCTTACCCCCTGAAACGAAATTGTCTATATAGGTCCACAATATCGTATATCCCCCATATAACGGTTCTCCCATATATTCGGTATTTTGATGATTTTAGCCACTTTTTCCAATGAATTATCTGAAAATCCACACAAGGAGTTCCTTGTGAGTACTTTACACGCAGAAATAGATTTGTCTTTATAGGTCCACAATATCGTATATCCATCCATATATCTGCACCTTCCTATATAAGATATTTTAAAGATTTTAAAAGAATTTTTAATGGATTTTCTTTTTTTTTTTGAAAATTTTCTAATTCGTTCCAAATGGTGGAGTGGTTTCAAAGGTCGGCCCGGCCGAATTTACTACTTTTTTACTTGTTAAAATTAAGAATGTGTCTGGTTGTTGCACAGTGTGCGGTATTTTTGATTTCGTTCTTGCCTTGTCTTAGTACAATAGCGTCAAGTTATGGTAGTCGCAGGTCTGATTCACTTTATGTTTTTGTTGTATGTGTTCAGAGCCATCAAGGTGTTGTCAACCTGGTCCTTCTGCACAATGCAAAATATATCGTTGACATATTTCGTTAATATTCTCGGTTTTATGGGTAAAGTTTTCATGGTTGTATCAAGTAACTCTTCCATGACAATATCAGCGTTTATAGGGGTAATAGGCGATCCCATTGGCATACATTTTAATTGTTTAAATATTTTGCCATTACAGACAAAATATCTGGAGTCCTTTATGCATAATATTAAAATACATATAAAGAGATTCATCGGCGTATTCGTGTATTCCTGAATGATGTTCTACTTTTCTTTTATTGTGTTCATTGCCAAGTTCATAGGAATACTTGAAAATAAGGATACAACGTCAAACGATATTAATATCTCATTGTCATGTATTTATTGGTTGTTAACCCTTAATTTAAATTCAACAACGTCTTTTATATTATATATAGATTCCCTCGTTATACATTTTATAATGTATGCAATATATTTTGATAATTTATATGTTGTTGAATTGTTAAACGAACATATAGGGCGCAAAGGGATCCCTTGTTTATCCATATCTTTTTGGAGGCACTGATATTCTCCTACCGAAATTTATAATTTTCAGAATATATATTAGAGTCGAACAATTTCATAACTAATTTATTGTTCTTTTCCTGTAATCCTGTTTTGGACCTTTCCTTAGACGTCTGTACATACACTTATTCATTACAATTTCGTTCATTTTTGCTTCATAGACCGTTTTTAACATCGCTACTGTTTTTCCTCCCTTGTCAGAGTTAGGTATAGCATTTTCAGATTAAATAAAACCTTTTGCAATTGGAATGAAACCTTTTACAGCGGATATGAAACCTTTTGCATTGGAAATTAAACCTTTTGCAGTGGAAATGAAACCTTTTGCAGCGGAAACGAAACCTTTTGCAGTGGAACTGAAACATTTTGCAGCGGAAATTAAACCCTTTGCAACCGAAATAAAACGTTTTGTAAATCAAATAAAACATTTCAATTTATAGGAGGAAAAATAACAAAACATTTTTATTTTTAGTAAAAAAAATTAAATAAACTAATTATAAAATTAATTAAACTAATTATAACAAATATAGTTAAGAGGAATTTTTATTTATTATTAATAAATACATTTTTATATTATTGTTGTAAAACAAATGGTTCTTTATTGTTTGATTTAAAACGTTTCCATGTTATTAAATTCTAAATGCTTAATGCTAAAAGAGAAATTGAAACTAATTTTGGGCCTTTATAGGTATGGGTAGGATTGAAATGCGAAATTAAGCTTTACTATAATGTTTTATAGTAGTAGTATACAGTCCGCTTCGCAGCTTTATTAGTTGTGGGGATAGAGCAGTCTTGCTATGTGGGCTATTGAATGGTTTGCCTTACATTAAATTTCATCTCAATATCGTGATTTCAATAGACAGCCAGGTGGACGTCATTAAATAAACTTTGATCATGATTGTATATACTTAATGGGGTCTACGACGAATATTTAGAGGTGTTACAAACGGAATAACAAATTTAAAATACCCATCTTTCCGTGTAGGAGGTTATAAAAATTCGGGTCTTTTGGAGAAAAGACTTTGAAACAAATTTTTATAATTTTTCTGCATCTACACTTTCTACACTGAGAATTTAAGAAAGAATATAAAAATATAGATACTAATAATCAATAAAAATTCCTCTTAAACTATAATAAGTTATAACTAGTTGATTTAATTTTGAACCTACTAAAAATAAAAATTTTTGTTATGTTTCTTTCTATAAATCTAAAAGTTTCATTTGGTTTGCAAAAAGTTTCATTTCGGTTGCAAAAGGTTTCATTTCCGCTGCCAAAGGTTTCATTTCCAGTGCAATATGTTTCATTTCCACTGCAAAAGATTTCATTTAATATGAAAATGCTACATAAGTATTTCTTTATTTCGTGTTATAAATTTGTTTGTATGTCAAACTGTATATAGTACAGCTATGAGCAGCCTCGAACGAAAAAGTATAAACAAAGCACACGGATTCTCTCTCTATTTTCATTTGCCATTGATTTGGAAGGGCAAGATAGTCTCTCACCAGTACTAATGCAAATATTATGAGCAAGGCTGATTTAGTATAAGACATTCTCTTTTACTCAACGTCGTCTTCTTGATGTGATCATTGACGAGCGTAATAAAGTTTATCCTAGTTTTCCCTTGATTCTCTTTGTTGTCCAATGTCGGTATTAATTCCTCTCCCTCAGCGATAATGTTGAAAAGGAGAAATGTCGTCTTTGTTGAAGACAATGAGAATTTCGGCCCAAGTGAGAGTAACCGCTCAACATTCATAGATTTGTGAATGTTTATAGTGTTAACGAACCAATCTCTTTTGTGTTCCACATTGAGTTCACAATTTTGTTGTTGTTTTAAAGTATTTAATTTTATAATATGAGTAACTTTTTTTGACGCTACCCGCTAGCAATGCGAACTAGTTCGGCACCGGAGACTCGTCGATTATCAGGGTTACAGGAACTAGTTCCACTTAAGACCCCTCACAGTGCAAACAACTGTAAACTTTAACAGGGGGATGTCATACGAGGTAACCAATTGACTCTTTGCATTACCTGTAGATGGTACTGTACTAGTTCCAGGTTTACAGCCATATACTGGTGACAAAAGACTAACCCCTACTTAGTTCCAAGTATACAGCCATAAACTAGTGTCAGCAGACTACCCCCTATTTAGTTCTATGTATACAATCATGTACTAGTGTCATTTGACTATCCCCTATCTAGTATAAGCAGACCGATTCTGAACTAGTTTCCAATTAACTAGTTCAGTGCCAATTATTGTTAGTGAAATTGTTAGTTTTTATTCATTTTTTTATTTGTAGCATAAATGAATACAATTAAACGTTACTCTATAAAAACACAATTATATATATATAAAAACTTAACACTAAAAATTTGTACATGTTTATCTGTTTCTTAAAACCATATTTACATCATTTGTATAAAAACAAAAACAAATTCAATATTATAAAAAAATTAACGCTAATATTTTGTTAATTATTCTGCCATTCGGTTTTGATTTTCTCTCAGCAATCACTTGTTTAAAAAATCTTTTCTTTTGCACTTGTATTGCTTTTCGCGGTTGTATTTCTGGGGTGTCCGAATTTTCTGTAACTGGTAATTAATCTGCAAAAAATAATGTTTAATGTACGAAAATGTAGAATATAGAAATGATGTTTTATACACCTTACCTAAAATAACGTTATATATATTTCTTAGGGACATCAGACTTTTTTTCCATGATTTCCGTCAATATTATATTCGTGAGTAATATTTGAACCTATAATATTTTTTAATGATTTCAATATTCCCTCTCTTTTTACAATGGATGATATAATCTTTACTTAAAAACTAACAAAATATTTGTATATAACCTGTCTTCAATAAGAAATAAATGTAAAAATACTTACATATATATCTTTATTCTCACTTGAGATTTTGTTATTAATTTCAATGAGATCTTTCTCAGTGGTGATGGGGAACCTATTCGATAATGGTATCTCTGCACTTGGAGTTCGTAGTAATTTTTGCACCATTACTTTCAACTCAGCTAATGCATCAGCTAAAACCTTGATCTGACCTATAGTGAGAACAAAGAAGCAAATTAACAAGTTGCAACAATTCTAAGAGAAATTACATAATTTTTACCTCGAATTACTTTCTAAGAGTTTTCCACATTTTCCATCTTTTTACCAAAAGTTTCGCAATTGCACTTTTGATTGGGACTATCTGCAAAGTAGAAAAATAATAATAGGGAATTAATTAGGAAATTATTTAAGATTATTAATTACTTACCATTGTTTATAATTCAACTGAAACGTTTAATTTTTCTTGGTGTTTCTTCCATTCTTCTTCAAAATAAAAACTGTAATAAAATTGCAAGTCTATAATAACAAAAAAATGTAACAATTTAATTAATAAAAAGAAAAGGAGTTGTATGAAGTGACAATGAAATTTCAAAGGCAGGTTTGCATTAAGGCAGTATAACTAGTTTGCTATTTTAGGGTAAAATTACTAGTTTAAACTCTAAATCAGATATGAGAAAGAGTTCTTCGCGGCACGATGGCTCAGAGTCGCTTATACCCAAATCTAATGAATCACAGGGTTCGTTAAAAAAACATTGTGGAATTGTATTCCTGGGACACAATAAAAACTTTCTTGGCAATCGCGGAACGTTACAATCTGTATAGGAATAGAAGATCTTATGTAGGCGGCATTGTTTGGAAAACGTGTACAATCTTTAAATATGTACAGAGTACAACCTTTAAATATGTATTTATTATTTTCCACATCTAGAATTGGAGTCCTATTTCCGTTTTATGGAAACTTTAAGAAGTTATATTATAAAAATGTAGATATTAATAATCAAAAAAATAATCTTTTACTATATATTAGTTATAATTAGTTGATTTAATATTAAACCTGCTAAAAAGAAAATGTTTTGTTATTTTTCCTTCTGTAAATCTAAAAGTTTCATTTGATTTGCAAAAAGTCATTTCGGTTGCAAAAGGTTTCATTCTATATGCCAAAGGTTCCATTTCCGCTGCAAAAAGTGTAATTTCAGTTGCAAAGTCGTTCATTTAATCTATGCTATAGAAGTTTATCTAGTGTTGTTTTGGTTCTTATTGGTATTGTCTTATTGGTTTTAAATATATTGTATATGTGCTGTGTTTGTGTTGGAGATGAAACTGGGAATAATACCTGAATCTACGCACTTAATGAGGAATGTTGTTGTTGATGTGATATTTCCTGATTGATTGTCACAATTTGAGAATATTTTAATGATATTCTGCGTTACCCTAAAACCATTTTGATGAATAATTCATAATGTTACAACATTTTTATTTCATATTTTCTTATTTTTGGTTAGATATAATGTCCAAAATGCATGTTCTCCGACTACATGCCGACTTAAGAAAAAATCCTCGACTTTTGGCATTCCATAACTACATAATTATAAATTGTCTAACGAGTTCATTTGACAATCGTTTAATGTTTCCAAAATGTCCTTTTGAAAATGTTTTAATAAATGTATAAAAATACTTCCTTATTTGATTTTAAACATATCGACTGCTGCTGTCCAACTTAGGCGCACTTACAATACAATTTGTTTACAATTGCCCTACCGATGTTTGTCCATAATATGACTTTATTTAATGTATAATATCTTAATTTTATAACATTTCTATAAAATAAGATCTTTGTTTTCTTTATTTATAAAAAACCTTATAAATAAAGAAAACAAAGATTGCATAATTAACCAATAAATAAATATGACAATTATAAATAAGCAAACTGTACCAAACAATATATTGATAAGAATATATCACTTTTTGGTGCGCTAAAAATCAAAACACCATCGGCTTGCAAAGAAATGCTAAGTGACATTCCATTAGCTCAAGTGGGTAATAATACAGGTACGCGCAAGAAGCTTCTGCTTTTCACCAAGTTCGTCATACGATTATACTCGCAACTCTTGTTTTGGAAGACAAAAAAGTCACTTTTATTTCACCATTTGAATTTTTTTGAGTACACTTGGGGAAGCTTGCAACAAAGAAAGAACTTCGTGCTTTGAATATTCAGACTTGATATGAATAGCGTTCACATAAAAATGGAAAGAATTTAAAATGGCATTTCACCATATGCCCGAACGTCTCGAGCTATTCGTCTCTATAAAGGATAATATATATGCGTCAACTAAATGGTTAGGAAGTAAACAAGCAAGAATAGACTTGTCATAAGAGGTTCACAAAAATAGAAAGAATCTAAACTGGCATTTCTCCCTATGACCAAATGTCTAGTGCTGGTTGGCTTTATAAAAGATAATACTTGTACATCAACTAAATATATTTTGCACATGCTCACCACAAGAACGTCATCACCATACATACTATTACATCAAATCTGGAAACCAAGGGATATTCTACTTGACAATCATCAGGAAGCCGAAGCAAATCAGTTAATTAGACATGCTACTACTTGTGGGTGTTGTTTTTAAGTTCTTAATTCGTTCATTGGACATTGAACGAATTAAGAACTACATTGAATAAAAATTTTAAAACTTCAAAGACAGCAATTAACATTCATTTAAAACTAAAGAAGGTTAATGTACCAAATTATAAATATCCCGCTCCAGGATAAAAAATAAAGAATATTTTAAAACATTTCTGAATGGTCTACATGAAAAATACGAATAGCAGTCAATACGAATAGCAGTTGCTATCGCACAAGAAAGATCATTACATCCGTCAGATATATAGAAGTCTATGACTAAATAGAAATAACAATAATTACTACTAATAATTACTAATGGTAGGATTACAACGATAACAATGGCAGATACAAGTATCAAGGAAGACAAAATGGAGCAAGCACGATATACACATTTAGTTTAGTAAACACTAATTAGCAAATTTTAGTAAAGCCAGACGCTGAAAATCCGCTTTAGTCATTAAAACAAAACATTATAGTTTTAAGTATTTCTTTCTTCACTTTAAAATTGTAAACTTTCGTCTTAAAAAAAAGACTCAATAAATTTGAATTGAAAGACAAAATAATAACACCAATCGCAACAGAAATAATAGAAACCGCAATAACAACTACGATTCCAACAATAATAGATTATTTAACAATTATAACAGGTATACAATTAATAACAGTCGTTATGGCACAAATAATGCTTACAATAGAACGAATAGAAACACCTATTACAATAAAAATCATCCATCGACAGGGAAACGAAGAAACCTTGGAGATTCAGAACGAATCTTACAGATTTAACCTTATTTCTCTACATATAAAAAAACTTTAATTACAAATTGAGCTTTTTAATAGATACCAGATCTAATATATCACTTTGTAAAGAAAACATTATTTACGGATATAACAATTGAACTAGAAGTAGTACATGGAGAACATTACTTGAAACATAAATTCTATCTGATAGAAAGTAACTTTCCGATAAACACAGACATAATTTTGGGAATGAATGATATAATTAATTGTGTCACACAAACTATTACAATTAATAAAAAAAAAACATTAAACTAATGTTATTATTCACTTAGGAATAAAAAAATAGAGAAAATCAAAAAGTGAAGATAGTGTATTATCCAATAAAGAAATAGAAGAAAGATTTTTCGTTGCGAGTACAAGACGGTCAGAAGTTAAATTAGCTACCATACCTTTTTAATACTATAGCATTTATAGAAACTCTAAGCCGAAATATAAACATCATTCAGAAGACAGATTTTTTTCAATGGAATTGTCTTAAAATCCACACAAGTAGTTCCTTGTGAGTACTTTGCCCCTGAGAGAGAATTGTCTATTCAGGTCCACGATATCGTATACCCCTATATAACGGTACCCTCGATATTCGGTATTTTGATGATTTTAACCACATTTTTCAATGGAGTTGTCGGAAATTCCACAAAAGGAGTCCCTTGTGGGCATTTTACCCCCTCAAAAAGAATTGTCTATATCGGTCCACGATATCGTATAACCCCCATATAACTGTACCCCGATATTCGGTATCGCACACATTTTTCATCGGAATCGTCTGAAAATCCACACAAGTAGTTCCTTGTGAGTACTTTGCCCCTGAGAGAGAATTGTCTATTCAGGTCCACGATATCGTATACCCCTATATAACGGTACCCTCGATATTCGGTATTTTGATGATTTTAACCACATTTTTCAATGGAGTTGTCGGAAATTCCACAAAAGGAGTCCCTTGTGGGCATTTTACCCCCTCAAAAAGAATTGTCTATATCGGTCCACGATATCGTATACCCCCATATAACGGTACCCCCGATATTCGGTATTTTGATGTTTTTAGCCACATTTTTCAACGGAATGGTCACAAGGGGTTCTTTGTACACAAGGGGTTCTTTGTGAGAACTTTACCCCCGACAGAGATGTCTCTAAATAGGTTAACGATTACGTACAGCTACCATATAACGGTCCCCAACGATATTCGGTATTTTGATGATTTTAGCCACATTTTCCAATCGTATTGTCTGAAAATCCACACACGGAGTTCTTATCAATGAAACGAAATTGTCTATATAGGTCCACAATATCGTATATCCCCCATATAACGGTTCTCCCCTATATTCGGTATTTTGATGATTTTAGCCACTTTTTCCAATGAATTATCTGAAAATCCACACAAGGAGTTCATTGTGAGTACTTTACTTTACTTTATACTTTGTGAGTACTTTACAGAAATAGATCTGTCTTTATAGGTCCACAATATCGTATATCCCTCCATATCGGCACCTTCCTTTATAAGATATTTTAAAGATTTTAAAAGAATTTTTAATGGATTTTATTTTTTTAAAAATTTTCTAATTCGTTCCAAATGGTGGAGAGTATTCAAAGGTCGGCCCGGCCGAACTTACTACTTGTTTACTTGTTAAAATTAAGAATGTGTCCGGTTTTGATTTCGTTCTTGCCTTGTCTTAGTACAATAGCGTGAAGTTATGATAGTCGCAGGTCTGATTCACTTTATGTTCTTGTTGTATATGTTCAGATCCATCAAGGTGTTGTCAACCTGGTCCTTCTGCACAATGCAAAATATATCGTTGACATATTTCGTTAATATTCTCGGTTTTATGGGTAAAATTTTCATGGTTGCATCAAGTAACTCTTTCATGACAATATCAGAGTTTGTAGGGGAAATAGTGGAATAGGCTTTTTCCAATGAATTATCTGAAAATCCACACAAGGAGTTCCTTGTGAGTACTTTACACGCAGAAATAGATTTGTCTTTATAAGTCCACAATATCGTATATCCATCCATATATCTGCACCTTCCTATATAAGATATTTTAAAGATTTTTAAAGAATTTTCAATAGATTTTCTTTTTTTTTGAAAATTTTCTAATTCGTTCCAAATAGTGAAGGGGTTTCAAAGGTCGGCCCGGCCGAATTTACTACTTTTTTACTTGTTAAAATTAAGAATGTGTCCGGTTGTTGCACAGTGTGCGGTATTTTTGATTTCGTTCTTGCCTTGTCTTAGTACAATAGCGTCAAGTTATGGTAGTCGCAGGTCTGATTCACTTTATGTTTTTGTTGTATATGTTCAGAGCCATTAAGGTGTTGTCAACCTGGTCCTTCTGCACAATGCAAAATATATCGTTGACATATTTCGTTAATATTCTCGGTTTTATGGGTAAAGTTTTCATGGTTGTATCAAGTAACTCTTCCATGACAATATCAGCGTTTATAGGGGTAATAGGCGATCCCATTGGCATACATTTTAATTGTTTAAATATTTTGCCATTATAGACAAAATATCTGGAGTCCTTTATGCATAATATTAAAATACATATAAAGAGATTCATCGGCGTATTCGTGTATTCCTGAATGATGTTCTACTTTTCTTTTATTGTGTTTATTGCCAAGTTCATAGGAATACTTGAAAATAAGGATACAACGTCAAACGATATTAATATCTCATTGTCATGTATTTATTGGTTGTTAACCCTTAATTTAAATTCAACAGCGTCTTTTATATTATATATAGATTCCCTCGTTATACATTTTAAAATGTATGCAATATATTTTGATAATTTATATGTTGTTGAACTGTTAAACGAACATATAGGGCGCAAAGGGATCCCTTGTTTATCCATATCTTTTTGGAGGCACTGATATTCTTGTTAACAACCGAAATTTATCATTTTCAGAATATATATTAGAGTCGAACAATTTCATAACTAATTTATTGTTCTTTTCCTGTAATCCTGTTTTTGGACCTTTCCTTAGACGTCTTATTCATTACATTTTCGTTCATTTTTGCTTCATAGACCGTTTTTAAGATCGCTACTGTTTTTCCTCCCTTGTCAGAGTTAGGTATAGCATTTTCAGATTAAATAAAACCTTTTGCAATTGAAATTAAACCTTTTACAGCGGGTATGAAACATTTTGCATTGGAAATTAAACCTTTTGCAGTGGAAATGAAACCTATTGCAGCGGAAACGAAACCTTTTGCAGTGGAACTGAAACATTTTGAGGCGGAAATTAAACCCTTTGCAACCGAAATAAAACGTTTTGTAAATCAAATAAAACATTTCGATTTATAGGAGGAAAAATAACAAAACATTTTTATTTTTAGTAAAAAAAATTAAATTAACTAATAATAAAATTAATTAAACTAATTATAACAAACGTAGTTAAGAGGAATTTTTATTTATTATTAATAAATACATTTTTATATTATTGTTGTAAAACAAATGGTTCTTTATTGTTTGATTTAAAACGTTTCCATGTTATTAAATTCCAAATGCTTAATGCTAAAAGAGAAATTGAAACAAATTTTGGGCCTTTATAGGTATGGGTAGGATTGAAATGCGAAATTAAGCTTTACTATAATGTTTTATAGTAGTAGTATACAGTCCACTTCGCAGCTTTATTAGTTGTGGGGATAGAGCAGTCTTGCTATGTGGGCTATTGAATGGTTTGCCTTACATTAAATTTCATCTCAATATCGTGATTTCAATAGACAGCCAGGTGGACGTCATTAAATAAACTTTGATCAGGATTGTATATACTTAATGGGGTCTACGACGAATATTTAGAGGTGTTACAAACGGAATAACAAATTTAATATACCCATCTTTCCGTGTAGGAGGTTATAAAAATTCTGGTCTTTTGGAGAAAAGACTTTGAAACAAATTTTTATAATTTTTCTGCATCTACACTTTTTACACTGAGAATTTAAGAAATAATATAAAAATATAGATACTAATAATCAATAAAAATTCCTCTAAAACTATAATAAGTTATAACTAGTTGATTTAATTTTAAACCTACTAAAAATAAAAATTTTTGTTGTTGCAAAATGGTTAGGCTTATTCATTGTTGTTTTATAAAAACAACGTTTGTTTATTAGTGGAGAACGATGGTAATGTTTACAAGGGGGTAAGGCAGGGAATACCTAGGTTTCGGAAAGAGCCACCAATCCTCATCAGTTCCCTTGTTTTTTGTAAGGGATATTCTCCCCAGAAGTTATTTTTAAAACAACTTCTATGACAAAAAACATTTTTTACCCAAGTGACGAGATCGTAAGCTTAATAGAAGAGGAACCAAAGAATTAAATAAAACTAAAATTCTTTTGGAAAGTCTTCTAAATCTTACAACCGCACTTATAAACATTTTCATCTTTCTCCACTTGTTATGCTTTCGTTCAGCCTGAACGAAGTAGCATAACCATGTAAGTTGGTTTTGTCTGTTACAACAAAATCCCCTTCGTCGACCGTGCCTTTTCTATAAATAGAACAGTGTTGCTTGTTTTTTCGGGATACCGTAGTATTTTGTTGTTGCAAAATGGTTAGGCTTATCCCTTTATTGTTGTTTTTATAAAAACAACGTTTGTTTATTAGTGGAGAACGATGGTAATGTTTACCAGGGGGTAAGGCAGGGAATACCTAGGTTTTCGGAAAGAGCCACCAATCCTCATCAGTTCCCTTGTTTTTTGTCTGGGATATTCTCCCCAGAAGTTATTTTAAAAATAACTTCTATGACAAAAAACATTTTTTACCCCGGTGACGAGATCGTAAGCTCAATAGAAGTATTCTTTATTTCGTGTTATAAATTTGTTTGTATGTCAAACTGTATATAGTACAGCTATGAGCAGCCTCGAACGAAAAAGTATAAACAAAGCACACAGATTCTCTCTCTATTTTCATTTGCCGTTGATTTGGAAGGGCAAGATAGTCTCTCACCACTACTAATGCAAATACTATGAGCAAGGCTGATTTAGTATAAGACATTCTCTTTTACTCAACGTCGTCTTCTTGATGTGATCATTGACGAGCGTAATAAAGCTTATCCTAGTTTTCTCTTGATTCTCTTTGTTGTTCAATGTCGTTATTAATTCCTCTCCCTCAGCGATAATGTTGAATAGGAGAAGTGTCGTCTTTGTTGAAGGCAATGAGAATTTCGGCCCAAGTGAGAGTAACCGCTCAACATTCATAGATTTGTGAATGTTTATAGTGTTAACGAACCAATCTCTTTTGTGTTCCACATTGAGTTCACAATTTTGTTTTTGTTTTATAGTATTTAATTTTATAATATGAGTCATTTTTTTGACGCTATCCGCTAGCAATGCGAACTAGTTCGAACTCGTCGATTCTCAGGGTTACAGGAACTAGTTCCACTTAAGACCCCTCACAGTGCAAACAACTGTAAACTTTAACATGGGGATGTCATACGAGGTAACCAATTGACTCTTTGCATTACTGTACTAGTTCCAGGTTTACAGCCATATACTGGTGACAAAAGACTAACCCCTACTTAGTTCCAAGTATACAGCCATAAACTAGTGTCAGCAGACTACCCCCTATTTAGTTCTATGTATACAATCATGTACTATCTAGTATAAGCAGACCGATTCTGAACTAGTTTCCAATGAACTAGTTCAGTGCCAATTATTGTTAGTGAAATTGTTAGTTTTTATTCATTTTTTTATTTGAAACATAAATGAATACAATTTAACGTTACTCTATAAAAACACAAATATATATATATAAACTTAACACTAAAAATTTGTACATGTTTATCTGTTTCTTAAAACCATATTTACATCATTTGTATAAAAACATAAACAAATTCAATATTTATAAAAAAATTAACGCTAATATTTTGTTAATTATTCTGCCTTTCGTTTTAGCTTTTCTCTCAGCAATCACTTGTTTAAAAAATCTTTTCTTTTGCACTTGTATTGCTTTTCGCGGTTGTATTTCTGGGGTGTCCGAATTTTCTGTAACTGGTATTGAATCTGCAAAAAATAATGTTTAATGTACGAAAACGTAGAATATAGAAATAATGTTTTATACACCTTACCTAAAATAACGTTATATATATTTCTTAGGGACATCAAACTTTTTTTCCATGATTTCCGTCAATATTATATTCGTGAGTAATATTTAAACCTGTAATATTTTTTAATGATTTCAATATTCCCTCTCTTTTTACAATGGATGATATAATCTTTACTTAAAAATTAACAAAATATTTGTATATAATCTGTCTTCAATAAGAAATAAATTTAAAAATACTTACATATATATCTTTATTCTCACTTGAGATTTTGTTATTAATTTCAATGAGATCTTTCTCAGTGGTGATGGGGAACCTACTCGATAATGGTATCTCAGCACTTGGAGTTCGTAGTAATTTTTGCACCATTACTTTCAACTTAGCTAATGCATCAGCTAAAACCTTGATCTGACCTATAGTGAGAACAAAGAAGCAAATTAACAAGTTGCAACAATTCTAAGAGAAATTACATAATTTTTACCTCGAATTACTTTCTAAGAGTTTTCCACATTTTCCATCTTTTTACCAAAAGTTTCGCAATTGCACTTTTGATTGGGACTATCTGCAAAATAGAAAAATAATAATAGGGAATTAATTAGGAAATTATTTAAGATTATTAATTACTTACCATTGTTTATAATTCAACTGAAACGTTTAATTTTTCTTGGTGTTTCTTCCATTCTTCTTCAAAATAAAAACTGTAATGAAATTGCAAGTCTATAATAACAAAAAATGTAACAATTTAATTAATAAAAAGAAAAGGAGTTGTATGAAGTGACAATGAAATTTCAAAGGCAGGTTTGCATTAAGGCAGTATAACTAGTTTGCTATTTTAGGGTAAAATTACTAGTTTAAACTCTAAATCAGATATGAGAAAGGGTTCTTCGCGGCACGATGGCTCAGAGTCCTCTACGCTTATACCCAAATCTAATGAATCACAGGGTTCGTTAAAAAAAACGTTGTGGATTTGTATACCTGGGACACAATAAAAACCTTCTTGGCAATCGCGGAACGTTACAATCTGTATAGGAATAGAAGATCTTATGTAGGCGGCATTGTTTGGAAACGTGTACAATCTTTAAATATGTACAGAGTACAACCTTTAAATATGTATTTATTATTTTCCACATCTAGAATTGGAGTCCTATTTCCGTTTTATGGAAACTTTAAGAAGTTATATTATAAAAATGTAGATATTAATAATCAAAAAAATAATCTTTTACTATATATTAGTTATAATTAGTTGATTTAATATTAAACCTGCTAAAAAGAAAAATGTTTTGTTATTTTTCCTTCTGTAAATCTAAAAGTTTCATTTGATTTGCAAAAAGTCATTTCGGTTGCAAAAGGTTTCATTCCAAATGCCAAAGGTTCCATTTCCGCTGCAAAAAGTTTAATTTCAATTGAAAAGTCGTTCATTTAATCTATGCTATAGAAGTTTATCTAGTGTTGTTTTGGTTCTTATTGGTATTGTCTTATTGGTTTTAAATATATTGTATATGTGCTGTGTTTGTGTTGGAGATGAAACTGGGAATAATACCTGAATCTACGCACTTAATGAGGAATGTTGTTGTTGATGTGATATTTCCTGATTGAATGTCACAATTTGAGAATGTTTTAATGATATTCTGCGTTACCCTAAAACCATTTTGATGAATAATTCATAATGTTACAACATTTTTATTTCACATTTTCTTATCTTTGGTTAGATATAATGTCCAAAATGCATGTTCTCCGACTACATGCCGACTTAAGAAAAAATCCTCGACTTTTGGCATTCCATAACTACATAATTATAAATTGTCTAACGAGTTCATTTGACAATCGTTTAATGTTTCCAAAATGTTCTTTTGAAAATGTTTTAATAAATGTATAAAAATACTTCCTTATTTGATTTTAAACATATCGACTGCTGCTGTCCAACTTAGGCGCACTTACCATACAATTTGTTTACAATTGCCCTACCTATGTTTGTCCATAATATGACTTTATTTAATGTATAATATCTTAATTTTATAACATTTCTATAAAATAAGATCTTTGTTTTCTTTATTTATAAAAAACCTTATAAATAAAGAAAACAAAGATTGCATAATTAACCAATAAATAAATATGACAATTATAAATAAGCAAACTGTACCAAACAATATATTGATAAGAATATATCACTTTTTGGTGAGCTAAAAATCAAAACACCACCGGCTTGCAAAGAAATGCTAAATGACATTCCATTAGCTCAAGTGGGTAATAATACAGGTACGCGCAAGAAGCTTCTGCTTTTCACCAAGTTCGTCATACGATTATACTCGCAACTCTTGTTTTGGAAGACAAAAAAGTCACTTTTATTTCACCATTTGAATTTTTTTGAGTACACTTGGGGAAGCTTGCAACAAAGAAAGAACTTCGTGCTTTGAATATTCAGACTTGATAGGAATAGCGTTCACATAAAAATGGAAAGAATTTAAAATGGCATTTCACCATATGCCCGAACGTCTCGAGCTATTCGTCTCTATAAAGGATAATATATATGCGTCAACTAAATGGTTAGGAAGTAAACAAGCAAGAATAGAATTGTCATTAGAGGTTCACAAAATAGAAAGAATCTAAACTGGCATTTCTCCCTATGCCCAAATGTCTAGTGCTGGTTGGCTTTATAAAAGATAATACTTGAACGTCAACTAAATATATTTTGAACATGCTCACCACAAAAACGTCATCTCCATACATACTATTACATCAAATCTGGAAACCAAGGGATATTCTACTTGACAATCATCAGGAAGCCGAAGCAAATTAGTTAATTAGACATGCTACTACTTGTGGATGTTGTTTTTTTCTTTTAGTCAATTAAGTTCTTAATTCGTTCATTGGACATTGGACGAATTAAGAACTACATTGAATAAAAATTTTAAAACTTCAAAGACAGCAATTAACATTCATTTAAAACTAAAGAAGGTTAATGTACCAAATTATAAATATCCCGCTCCAGGATAAAAAATAAAGAATATTTTAAAACATTTCTGAATGGTCTACATGAAAAATACGAACAGCAGTCAATACGAATAGCAGTTGCTATCGCACAAGAAAGATCATTACATCCGTCAGATATATAGAAGTCTATGACTAAATAGAAATAACAATAATTACTACTAATAATTACTAATGGTAGGATTACAACGATAACAATGGCAGATACAAGTATCAAGAAAGACAAAATGGAGCAAGCACGATATACACATTTAGTTTAGTAAACACTAATTAACAAATTTTAGTAAAGCCAGACGCTAAAAATACGCTTTAGTCATTAAAACAAAACATTATAGTTTTAAGTATTTCTTTCTTCACTTTAAAATTGTAAACTTTCGTGTTAAAAAAAGATAAATTTGAATTGAAAGACAAAATAATAACACCAATCGCAACAGAAATAATAGAAACCGCAATAAAAACTACGACTCTAACAATAATAGATTATTTATCAATTATAACAGGTATACAATTAATAACAGTCGTTATGGCACAAATAATGCTTACAGTAGAACGAATAGAAACACCTATTACAATAAAAATCATCCATCGACAGGGAAACGAAGAAACCTTGGAGATTCAGAACGAATCTTACAGATTTAACCTTATTTAACCTTATTTCTCTACATATAAAAAAACTTTAATTACAAATTGAGCTTTTTAATAGATACCAGATCTAATATATCACTTTGTAAAGAAAACATTATTTACGGATATAACAATTGAACTAGAAGTAGTACATGGAGAACATTACTTGAAACATAAATTCTATCTGATAGAAAGTAACTTTCCGATAAACACAGACATAATTTTGGGAATGAATGATATAATTAATTGTGTCACACAAACTATTGAAATTAATAAAAAAAAAAACATTCAACTAGTGTTATTATTCACTTAAGAATAAAAAATAGTGAAAATCAATATGGAAAAAGTGAAGATAGTGTATTATCCAATAAAGAAATAGAAGAAGGATTTTCCGTTGCGAGTACAAGACGGTCAGAAGTTAAATTAGCTACCATACCTTTTTAATACTATAGCATTTATAGAACCTCTAAGCCGAAATATAAACATCATTCAGAAGACAGATTTACGAAATTACTAACAACAATTAAAATCAATAACTTTGATAATAATATTATACGACATATTAATACAATATCAAGAAATATTTAATCTGGAAAAAGAACCTTTTTCCCAGCAAAAATGAGTATACATTAAAATAAGTATAAAAAGACAAGTATTTAAAATACAACAAGAAAGCATAATTGAATTATTCATGGGTGAAAATCACTCCATTAGCATCGCCGTTTTTTATTAACGACGATATGAATGTGTGTGGCCGACTATTAGATCTCTATTTGTTCTAGCGAGAAATGACAAAAAACAAGAAAAACATAGGCAAAGAGCGGGAAAACAGTATTTATTTTTGTTTTCCTTACTTGTATTAAAAGGAATTAATTATTATAAGTATTTTTGGTTGCGAACAAAACACAGTCGCGTGAAAGTTCCTTACACTTCGGAAATAAAAATGTTATTTTGCTGGAAATAGTTGAATATAATAAAACAAATCAGTCATTATTTGAAAGGGGCTTTTTCATAGTTTAGTGGGAGTTCAGCAATTGTTGCTTTTAGAATTTAACAAGTAAAAAAACATTAAGTTCGGCCAGGCCGAACTTATAATACCCTCCACCTTAGGGTAAAGGAAACATTAGAATCCATTATTACCAACAAATACCAATATTTAGACAAATCCTTGAAAAAATGCGACAAAAACCAGCATATACCAAAACGTGGACCTATACAGCCAATGCTACCCCACCGGAGCTAGAACCCATTAGACCAACAAATACCAATTTTTAGACAAAAATGTGGCAAAAATCATCAAAATGATGAGTTGCGGGAGGTACTGTTATATGGGGACTATACCAAAACGTGAATTGATATATCATTTTCAATACCAACCATCCTAGACACAGTATAAATTGATCTGCGTCAAATAATGTGGGCTATATTGTGATTTCAACAGACAGTCGAACGTCGTTAAATCGACTCAGAATTTTATGCTGATTTTATACCAATTTCATTTTATACCATTTCATTATATATATATATATATATATATATATATATATATATATATATATATATATATATATATATATATATATATATATACCAATTGTTGTTCGTTGGTAATTGAATCAGTTGGGAACGAGTGGGATATTTTTTTAATGTTAGTCCTACCACGAATTAGGTTTTTATGCAAAGAAAAAGTGACCACGCCCATTTTTCGAAAAACCTAAAACTCTTATATTTGCCAAAATATTGAAGATATCTGTTCCACAGTTTGTATCTGACGTAATCTTGACTATCCCTCCAAACCTATATATCTGTATAGGTCTGAGGAGCTCCTCATACCCACTTTTTAGATCTAGATGTAAAAAATTAAAAAAAGTATAGCAACACTTCAGTTGAGGATGACTGGGCCGATCTAACTGATATTTTCTTTTGGTTATTTGTAATTGCACTGGAATCGTTTTCAAGAAAGAAACTTTTGAGAAAAGTATCGAGAAAAATCGCGGAACTGAAATTAACTGTTCTATTTGGATATGGAATTTTGTGTAGAATTGTTTCAGAATGTCTTTTGGAATTGAAAATTCTTATTGAAAAAAACGAGAACTTTTGAATATATTCTGTACATGATTGCCATACCAAAAATTTTAATTTTAAACAGCTATTGCAGCTATTGATTTCACATTACTGAAAACATTAAATGTCGAATTACAGTTCATTCCGTTGAAATTGAAACAAACACCTTATTTATGATAGTTAAAATTAAGTCATATTTCCAGGATTTTTATTTAGAAATTACTATCGGTCCGGGGGTCGAAAGCTCAAAAAAATTGACTAGATATGGAAATAATCCATCCAACGCAAAATTCATTGGGACTGAAATAAGTGAACTACCGAATATGAAGAGGCAATGTAATATGCGTACCACACAAAATAGTGGAACGAATTTAAAACTTAGTAAGAAAAGGATTCATATCATCGAAAAATTCTTTCGAACCCGTAACCTTAAATTAATGTTATACGGGGACTGTGTGCTATCGCCAGT